AAATCCACCCCAGCCCCTGCCTTTCCTTGTACTGAGGTTGTGCTTCCTACCCCTTTCTTTAGGATAGGTTTCTTCCCACTCCTGGTCCCACAAGCAATTAGCACTCAGAGGCTCTCCCTACTAGGCCCTGCAGAATGGGCTAATTATGGCTGAACAAGAGGCTTTGGTTGAGGTCCCTCTTTCTCTAGAAACCACTTTCTCTTCTGCAGGTGGTCTGGGAAGCCTTTGGTAGCCGGACAGACATCTTGTGTTTTTTGCCAATACGGGGAACAAACATTTATTGAGTCAAACATGCCAGGTACTGTCCTTGGGGCTACCTTATGCTAAATTATTCTTAATGGGTCATTAAAACAGGTGCTCGAAGAAGGAAGTGTCAGAACATTAGAGAGGAAGGACTTTAGGGGCCCTTTAACCCCTGCTCCTTGTAATGTGCTCCACATGGCAGCTTCTTAGAAAAGCAAAATGTAGGGCCCCACCCCAGAGCAACTGAATCAGAGCCTGTGGTTTAACGAGATCCCCAGGTCATTTGAATGTACTTTAAAATCTGAGAAGCCCAAAGCCCTTGTTTTACAGATCAAAAGCTGAAACCCAGAGAGGTTAAGTGATTTGCTGAAATTTACACAATGACTTACACTCAGCTTGACTGAGGATCGAATTCTGACCCAAGTCCAGTGCTTTCCTAGACCTGACCAACTTCCTCCAAGGCTGTATTTTGTCCGCTTCTTTTTACTGAAAGAACTTAGTTCTGTTTATTTAAAAACCCTTTAACTTCTCTCCTTCACTAATTCAGACTGGACTTCCTTTCAGTTATCCTAGTGGATGGCATTACTTTGCCTCTTCATATTTTGTGTGTTTATTAGATTCCTTCAAGAGTTACATAATAATTTTCTATCTAATGTATGTTTCTGGAACTGGATGAATATAAAAATGCTGCCATCTTTATAAAGATAAGTATTTTATATAGGAAAGAAATAAAAAATCTTACCATTTTATTGTTTATTTCTTTAGTGTTTATATCAATAGAAAAAAGGAATATAGATATATACATATCTATGTATAACTGAATCACTTTGCCATGCACCTGAAACTAACACTTATATTGTACATCAACTATACTTCAAAAAAAATTTTGTGTTTATATCTATTATTGCACTACCCACGCATGCTGGGGTGACTGTTCATTGTTAGGTGGTTGATCACAGCTGGGCTCGTGGGCATGACCCAGGATCCATTATTTAGAAGGTATTTCCAGGATTTTGGTTGCATATAATTATGTACTGACAGTGTCTTCATGGTACTGTTTTAAAATGTTGTGTATTAAAAATGATTAAATAGATTTACCCCATATTTGTGGACATTTAATGTGGGGACTCATCTCTCCCTTAAGCTCTGTCTGTTGCTCACTTATTTGGAGCCTTCCTGGTGCATTTTTCCAGGTTGTAAAATTCTATCTTATGCCAGGGTTAGTTAGAGGATCTGGGCATTTAACTACTCCTCCATATTTTCCACTTGTTCCTTAAACTCTCAGACCCTACCCTTTATGATTGCCTTCTGAGGCATTTAGGGACCTCATTCTTGAGCCTTTCAGGTTGACTTTTATTTATTTTTATTATTCTTTTTTTTCCTCCCTCCCTCCCTCCCTCCCTCTTTCTTCCTTTCTCCCTTCCTTCCTGTCTTTTTCTTTCTTTTTAATTCTTCCTCTCAGTCAATTCCCACATGTCCATCTCTTTCACCTTCTGAAATGTTGTCAACATCCTTGGCCGCTGTCATCTTCTCTCCCAGGCTTTATACCTTCGTGGTCCTTAATGTCATTTTTAAATTTTGGGGTGAAGGATTGTGAATGGGTTAAATCTTCTGTGTTTAATTGAAAGTCTTTCATTTGTAATTTAAAAGAAATTGTTTATATTTTAGTTGTATGTTTGTATATACTCTTTTTTTCCTTTACCAATCTTGAGTTTGACTACTAGTCTTTATGATGGGCTGACCTTGGCAAAAGTTTTTTTTTCAATGAATTTGAATATATTTTCTAATTCTTTAACATCTTTGTACTAAGTCCTAACTCCCCCACCCCACAGCCTCTATTTGTTTTTTCTTTCTTCAAGCTTCTTGCATTAAAATTCTATTTTCCCTCATCCCCTGGCTGCCTGCTTTTCTTTTTTCTTTTAAAGTATATGAAAACATGTCAAACTCAGCTTTTCTGAAGTAGATAAGCTTTTATGTCTGATATTAAACATTTCAATGTTGATATCCTCTTTGCTCCAAGAATTATTTAGGAGACTGTTTTGTAGTTTACAAGTAGGCTTACTTTTGGAGATGCAAGTCTTATGTTTTATCTTGTAATTTTATTATATTATTACATGGTAGTCAGTATGACCTTTATAATCTCTACTTTTTAAAATTCATTGCATTTTTCTTTAAAGTTTGGGAAATAATAAAATTTGTAAATATCCTATGGTTGATTTAGTACTTCTTAGTGATAAGCATGGCTTGTCTCATTTTTGTGTTGTACTTTGTTTAAAAAAATAAAAAGCAAGCCTGAGAAATATTTGTATGTCTCCCTTTCTCAGCTGGTTTCATGCCTAGAGCAGTCTGAGGGCTAAGTCTTTATTACCTGGGTAGTAATGGAGCCAGGACTAAGGTGAAATTCCATGCTGAAATGTTCTCTTTCCTAGGTCAGCTCCTGATATTACAGACACTGGGAGTGCAATACAATGTTCCCACAGAGCCTCGGTTAGAAATTCTTGTTTGATCTTGGGCCATGTATCACCATCTGGTAGATCTGGATGTTTCAGGAATTTTAGCCCCAAACATTTTTGCTGCTTATCTAAATAATTGGGATCTGGTGATCCTCCTGGGACCTGGTTATTATCTCACTGACATTTAAAGCACATTCACCACTTTTTCCCTAAAAGGAAAATGGATAGGGCAGTAGATGAGTACCTCTCCCTTCCATTTGCTTCTTTTTAAAAATAACAATTATAGTTTATTTTATTTATTTTTTGGTCATGCTGCATAGGTTGTGGGATCTTAATTCCCCCACCATGGATTGAACCTATGCCCCCTGTAGTAGAAGCATGGAGTTTCTTAATGCCCAGGGAATTTCCCCATTTGCTATTTAAAGTTGTAGGCAGTAGGACTGCAGGTGCCTTTATCTGGTTGGTCAATAAAAATATATTGAATGTTTTTACCCTGCCATAATGATATATGGGTAAATGACATGATTCCTGTTCTTGAGAAGCTCATTCATAATAGCGAGCTGGGAAGACAGAGGTGGAATAGAATATATTGACAAATTAACATGGTTGATATGGGAATGTATAAGCATTAGGAGAGCACAGAGGAAGATACATTTAATTTTCCTGAAGAACGAAGGAATGAGGACCACCTTAGGGAAAGTGTGATATTTAAGCTGGGTCTTGAAATGAGAATAGGTGCTAGTTGGCCAGAGAGGGAAGGATAGACATTCTGGATGAAGGAACATCATGCCTAGGGCATGAACTAAGACAGTGGATAGCATGTTTGTGTGGGAAAGAGCAGTTGGCCTCTTCCCTCGAGAACACTGTGTATTTGAGTTTGGAAGCATTGAGGCTTACAGGAGTTAGTCTGGGGTTACACTTACGGAAGCATTGATTGCCAGGCTGAAGAATTTGCACTGTACTCTGTGGGGAGTGGGGTTCCTTAGAAACCACTGCAGATTTCTAAGGATGAGATAAGGTCTTTTGTTGTTGCTCAGTCACTAAGTCATGTCCAGCTCGTTGCCACCACATGGACTGCAGCACGCCAGGCTTCCCTGTCCTTCACTGTCTCCCAGAGTTTGCTCAAATTCATGCCCACTGAGTCAGTGATGCCATCCACCCATCTCATCTGCTGCCCTTTTCTCCTTTTACCTTCAGCGTTTCCCAGCATCAGTCTTTTTCAGTGAGTCAGCTCTTGGCATTACGTGGCCAAAGTATTAGAGCTTCAACTTCAGCCTCAGTCCTTCCAATGAATATTCAGGGTTGATTTCCTTTAGAATTGATGGTTTGATCTCCTTGCAGTACAATGGATTCTCAGGAGTCTTCTCCAGCACCACAATTCAAAAGCATCAATTCTTGGGTGCTCAGCCTTTTTTTTATGGTCCCATACATAATTACTGGAAAAACCATAGCTTTGACTAGACAGACCTTTGTTAGCAAAGTGATCTCTCTGCTTTTTAATACACTGTCTAGATTTGTCATAACTTTTCTTCTCAGGAGCAAGTGTCTTTTAATTTCATGATTGTAGTTACCATCTGCAGTGATTTTTGAACCCTAGAAAATAAAATCTGTCACTGCTTCCACTTTTCTCCTATTTACCATGAAGTGATGGGATCAGATGCCATGATCTTAGTTTTTTGAATATTGAGTTTTAAGCCAACCTTTTCATTCTCCTTTTTATCCTCATCAAAAGGCTCTTTAATTCCTCTTTGCTTTCTGCCATTAGAGTGGTATCGTCTGCATTTTTGAGGCTATTGATATTTCTCCCTGCAGTCTTGATTCTGGCTGTGCTTCATCCAGCCCGGCATTTTGCATGATGTACTCTGCATAGAAGTTAAACAAGCAGGGTGACAATAGACAGCCTTGACGGACTCCTTTCCTGATTTGGAACCAGTCTATTGTTCCATGTCAAGTTCTGTTGTTTCTTGACCTGCATACAGGTTTCTCAGGGGGCAGATAAGGTGGTCTGGTATTCCCATCTCTTTAAGAATTTTCCACAGTTGTTGTGAACCACACAGTCAAAGGCTTCAGCGTAGTCAATGACAAAACTGGTCCCCTGGAGGAGGAAATGGTAAGCCACTCCAGTATTCTTGCTGTGAGCAGTATGACCAGTATGGAATAAAATCTACCCTTTATAATTTTGGTATTCAAATGTTGGTTCTCCATGGTAAATGTCTGCAACCAAAAATGTGGGTCATCTAAAGTAGGTGATTGAAATGTTCTTTTCCTGATATATGCTATTTATGATTCAGATTTCCATTCGGATATCTGTGCCACTTGCCATGAACATGCTACCTGCTCGAAAATAGGAAGGATGAGCATCTGTATGTGCAAATATGGATTTGTGGGCAATGGGAGGACTCATTGTATTGGTAAGTTCTGACTCTTGGCTAAGTTGAAAACTTGACCAAGAAACAAGATTCTCCAGTATTAAAGAGTTGGTGTCCTTGGGGGGAAAACATTGCTATTTTGTTCATGTGCTTTTATTATAAGAAATTTTGTCAATTACAGTAAGTCTCTGTTTTAGTGTTTGGATATATGCTTTCTTTAGTGTTTACAAGGAATTATCCCTCATGTTAGAGGTCACTGAACTTGAACCTCTGGGAACTCTCTGACCTCACACAGATGTGAAATCTGTTAAGTCTTGGGTTTAACTTAGCAATTTGAGTGAGTATTGTCTTTTTAAATTTCTCTAGTTGTTTTGACAGAAAACTATTTTTATTAGTACCATGAGGAAAAACAAAGCACAATTGCCTATTGAACTTTTCTGGCTGGTGGGTGAAATACTGTTTCTTTGAGTCTTATGTCTACCAAAATCCACCCTGCAAATTTTTTGTAGTTGTGACCCTTTAAGCTCTTGGATGACTTATAGAAATACAAATACTTTTAGACTAGAAGTATCTGAAATTATTTTTTGTCTCAGAGAATCCACCATGCCATGAGTCAAATAATATCCAGTTTGAAGCCCAATTCAGAGAGAGAGAGAGCTCCATAGCAACTTTACAGTAGTGGATATTAGAATAATCATGGTTTCCTTCCATCATCCATGTTACCTACAGTGAAAATGTGGATAGTTTTGCCTTGTAGCTGTGGATTGACAGTATATACCATCTCACTGTGGTATCTTTGTTTTTGTTTTTTTTTTTGCTCCCTGAAGAAAAATAACAATTAAATCCTGCATTCAAAAACTCATATTCTACTTCACAGGTACTTGTTTTCACAATCACACAGCTTTGCCTGTTCCTGCAGGCTGGAGTTGGGCCTTCCTGACCCTCTCTGTTTAGGATAAAAACACTATATACTATATATCCCAATAATTGGTGTGCTGAGACCACACCATAGGTTGCAGGTAAGATCATAGATGTGCCCAGTGCTAAGTCACAGGACCTAAGAACTCTAGAATCCCCTACAAATGCATATGCCCCTTCTGATGAAGTCTGCAGGGGAGATATGCCTCAGGAACAATAGCAAAGGAATACTCCATCTTATGGGCAGGTGGACTTGTGTCTGAAAGCCCGTGCCCTTCTTAGTAAGCCAGACTGGACACTTGACCTGGCTATGGCTTGAGGGTCCATTTTGCCTCTCTGTGTTCTTAGACAGATCTTTTAACCACAGATAGTTTTAATGATGAATAGATTTAATTAAATTTTTAAAAGATAATAGAAGGAAAATGAAAGAAAAAACCTACCAGATTTTGAACGGAGTGTGGGGTGCTCTTGGGTTAGCAGGAATTGTGTGCAATTGTGAGAGGCAATTGAACTGTTGTGAGGGAACCAGTAATGTAATAAAATGCTAAGTGACAGATAAAAAACTCCAGTTCCTAAGCAGATGATATCCCCCCCCCCCCCCAAAAAAAAGCTAGCTGGATATCACCTCTCAAAGGATGTCAGAGAAATTGGTCACAGGAGTTTCCTCTGATGGTACAGTCTAAGGCAGAGTGAGTGAACTCTAACCTGGGGGCCAGACTTCACTGCTGCCTGTTTTCGTAACAGGGTCTTAATTTGTTTACTGACTGTCTGTGCTTTTATGATCCAAAGTATGGATGAGCAGTTGCCACCGGCGACCTATGACTGGCCTTTGACAGAAAAAGTTTGCTGAGCCCTGGGCTGGAGGACAGGAGGGAGGTTTACGTTCATTTGACACTGATGTCAAATGATTGAATTAGAAATAGCCAGGGCAGGTCCTGTGGTCTCATCACGCATCCCAGGTTCCAGCCCCTTCTCACTGGGTGATTAGCATTGTTTATGTGGATCGCTAAGGATCAGCAGGAGCTGCTCCTGCCACAGCATTAGCCCTGCCCCCGATGAGGCTTGAGCACTAATTCCATTGTGTGGCCTGGTGACTCAGAAGTAACAAATTTTCCAGTTAATCATTGGATGCAAAATCATCCTACTTTGATTTTTATAAAAAAAAGCAAGAGAATGGCTGAGCTGGAAACGTGGGATTCTGCTGGATTTTTCCCCCCAGGCCTATGACAAGATCTTCTAAGTGTGGAGAAGTTCAAAAGGCATCTCCATCTCCCAGTCTTCAAGTAAGACGGGCTATCAGAATGAGATGTTGGATTTCTCTTATGGTTTCGTACACACTTGGCATGAGACAACGAGGGGCCCATGTCCCGGAGTCTGAGAAGTATAGTGAGCGGAGGAGGGGCTGGGGAAATAGATCTTTCTGCTGTTGTCATAGAATGTTGATTCCCAAGTCCATAGCGCAGGAGAACAGTCTGGGTAGTTAATCGTGGTATGGAGTGACAGCCTTTTCTGTGTGTTGTCCCAATGTACCCACAGATAAAGATGAGTGCCAATTTGGAGCCAGTGTGGTCTGTGGGAACCACACATCTTGCCACAACACACCCGGAGGCTTTTATTGCATTTGCCTGGAAGGGTATCGAGCCACGAACAACAACAAGACATTCATCCCCAACGACGGCACCTTTTGCACAGGTACTCAGGAAGAGGGCTGCGGATGGCAACGTGGTGACGGCCGAGGGTACCCGGTCCCTGGGGTGTGGAGGAGGAGAGGGCGGGGCCAGGATGGGGTGTGCTTTAAGGAAGGGACTCTCCTTTATCCATGGGGGATATTTGGACATGCACTGAGTATTAGTTAGTATCAGGGAATTATTGTTCATTTTGTTAGACGGAATAGCTGTATTGCAGTATTTTAGGATAATATTCTTATTTTGGGAGCTATGTGCTAAAGTATCTAGGAGTGTTATTATGAAGCATGTGGTGTAGTGTTTATCTGTAAGATACTTTAAATGGCAAAATGTGAATGATTGTTGAATCTTGGGGGTGGAGGTGGGACTAGGGGAGACTGGAATATTCTTTTGCTTGTTCGGTGTGTCTGAAATGTTTCATAACAAACAGCAAGGAGAGATTCTTCAAGATGGTGTGCCATCTCTGCAGTAACCTTTGGAGTGACTGTGGTACTTCCCAGCCCTGTGCATACTGCCCCAGGGGTAAGCCCTGTGATGCACCTATTAGAGTTGTGGGCCTGTCTCCTAGAGGAAGAAGCTGAGTGAGGAGCACAACTTTTAGGACCTCAGTAGCTTTGAAGATCAGGTTTTGGACATATGTTAGTCAAATAAAAGGGGTGGGCAAAGGCCTCTTAATTTTCAGTGGCTCCTGTATTATTTTCACGATTATATGTCATGATAATATAGCTCTTGGATTTTCTAAGGAAATCTTTGAACAGTAATGAGGAGGAAAGGCAAGAAAAGACTCCTGGTTCTAAGATGGTTTTGTGTAGACTTAATGATTCTTCTTGAGGAGATCATGGCAACCCACTCCAGTATTCTTGCCTGGAGAATCCCATGGACAGAGGAGCCTGGCAGGCTACATACAGTCCATAGCGTCACAAAGAGTTGGACACAACAGGAGCAACTTAGCAGTCTCTTCTTAAAAAGCTTTGTGATATTTAAAGGTTTGGGGGAGACACAAAGAGAGAGGAGAGCATTTTTATCTTTTTCCCAGGAACCGCAGGTTCTGATGCTCCGATTCATTCTCCCTCTTGACCTGTACCAAGGTAAAATGCCCTCAAAGGGTACATTTGATTTATTCTTGGCATGAATGAGCACCATTCCCTCAGAGAAAACATTTTATAATATCTTGTTGTTTTAGGTAGCAAATTATTTGCTACATGATTGCAGAAGTGCAGTGTTGCAGAATTAAATTAAGTGCCTTAAAAAAAAACTTGGAAGATGATGGTTCATTCAATATACATTTTTCATGCACTTCCTACGTGCCAAGGCTGTGCTAGTAGGAGGTGATGGTAGATAGCTAATTTCAGTATAATGTATTAGTCATGGGTAAGCAGAGGGTGCTTTCCAGAGTCTGGAATCCTTGGAGGCACTTACCTTGGAAGTGGGTGAGAGATGGGATGCTTTCCGGAGGACTTAACACCTGAAATTGTGTTTTCAAGACTGTGGGAGTTTGACAGGAAAAATTTTATAATAGTATGTATCAGTGTAGTTTCCAAGGATGCATTATGTTTTTTAAAGGGTATGAAGAAGGAAAAGAAAGAAAGAAATATTATATTCAAGGGCCAAATAGATGTCAGCCTAAGAAGAGCTGATCTTCCTGGAACAAAATCCTTATCTAGGCTCTGCTTCTATTTATTCTACTTCTTATAATTATTTGGTGACCTTCCCCCTTTAAAAAAAATTGAGGTATAATTTATTAAACCGCAAAATGCCCTCTTTTAAAGCGTACAATTCAGTGGTTTTCAGTATAATTTTAAAAAGTTGTGCAACAATCTCCACTATCCGATTTTAGAACCTCCCTTTAACCCTCAAAAGAAACCTCATATCCAATGGCAGTTATTTCCATTACTTTTTTTTTTGAGGCCTTTATTTATTACTTTGTAAAACCTGATGGATGACTTTTCTTGATGACACTGAGTTTCTTCCAAAATCACAGTGTCACAGAAACACCAGTGGACTTTAGGTAGGGCAGAAGCTTTAGCAAGTTTTGGGGTATCAGCAGTTATCCAGTGCTTGCCTGGAACCAGAAGATTATAAATCCCTGTTCTTGAATTCTGAGAAATTCCTGTGCCTAGGTGTTCATTGTCCTCGGCAGGGTTCAGGTCAGTTTCAGGGGCTGGTTGCAGGTAGGCCTCCTTGGATGTCACCGAGTATAGATGAGGGTGAGCTGCCGCAGTTCTAGGGCTGGAGATCCCAGGGACGTTCTGGTCCCCAGGCTGCCCCTGGGATGACTCCTGGCGATCATGGAAGCTTTGCGATGAGCCACAACCCAGGGAAGAAGCTCTATGGCGCTTGCAGCATGAGGGCATTCCAAAGTGCCAGGGGCCTGGACCAAGGTATCCTTGTCCCTCATGATGGTCTTCATTTCTTCACATCCTTGCCAACACTGGGTAATATCAATAACGGTCCCCATCTTACATGAGTGTTTGTGTTCCTCTAATGTGACTTCCTAAGATGTAGGTTTCTGAGCTGAATTTGGCATTTGAGGAGGGACTGTAGCCTCTGTTTTAGAGCATTTAAATCTAGCATTTAAATCAACAAGCCGTGTGGCCACTCCCCTGCCTCTAGTCAAGAACCCCATGCGAAGATGTGTACGTGTGCATGCTCATTGTTCATGGTCAAGGTCAGGCGTGGGTTATGAAGGAGTGGCTTGTGCTCTAGGGAGAACTGAGTCAGTAGAGAGGCGAGGCCCATTCACATATTGGCTAACGAGTATTGAGGACCAAAGATTAAGCAGGCACTGTGTTAAGTGATTTCCACATGTTTTATTTAATCTGTGCCAAAAAACCCTACTATAATTAACTTCATTTTACAGAAGTGGTTTGGAAAGGTTAAAGAACAGACATTAGTACAACTAGTAGGTAGCAGAATCAATTCTCCAACCTGGGTCTGTTTGACTTTCAAATCCATGAAAGAATTTTAAATATAGAACACCAGGGCTCTGGGATGAGGTCAGAGTGTCCTGCTCAGTTTTGCTATTTTCTACTAAAGAATGGTTCTGGCTGTGGATAAAGTGAAATAATCTTATATATAGAATGAGGCATAGGGAATTTTCTCCCTTGATTAGTTAACTATGTTAATATGGTTGCTTAGAACATTTTTTCTTCACAAGCAAACATGTTATAAGCTTGGAGACCCAGTGGAATCTACCACTATGTGGAGAATTTGTCCTGTTGAGCTTAACATGATGACCTTAACATGTCTATCTAATCAAGATCTAGAACAGTTTAGTAAAGGTATGCTTTGGAAACATTAGGAAGTAGCAGAGGATTAAATATCAAAATCGTGTCATACTCATCTCAGTGATATATGGTAAATACATCTAGACTTCCTTAAGGAAATTTATGTTCCTGATAATCTCTGTGGACAAGACAGAGAATTATTGATTGGATGATGGTAAAATTAGATTTTTAAGGAAGAAACAGTGTGGCATAGTGTTTAAGGATATGGTCTCAGAAGCCAGACACCTGGCTTCTGATTCTAGCTTTTCCACCATTAAACCTGCATGGCTTCAGGTTAACCATTCTATGCTTCAGTTACTTCATCTGTAAAATGGGGATAATAACAGCATCAACCTCCCAGGGTTTTTGTGAGGATTAAATAGGATGGAAAATAATCATTAATAAATAACAAAGTGTTTAGAACAGTGCTTGACATGCACAAGATGACATGCAGGGGTTATCGTTATTAACAGTCATTATAACAATTATTGTTATTAAACTGTTGAATGACTGTATACAAAGCAAATGGATTAACGCCTGCAGTGATTCATACAGAGCTAATCAGTATCTAGAAACTCCAAGTGTTTTCCATACCACTGGTATCCTTGTCCCTCATGATGGTCTTCATTTCTTCACATCCTTGCCAACACTGGGTAATATCAATAACGGTCCCCATCTTACATGAGTGTTTGTGTTCCTCTAATGTGACTTCCTAAGATGTAGGTTTCTGAGCTGAATTTGGCATTTGAGGAGGGACTGTAGCCTCTGTTTTAGAGCATTTAAATCTAGCATTTAAATCAACAAGCCGTGTGGCCACTCCCCTGCCTCTAGTCAAGAACCCCATGCGAAGATGTGTACGTGTGCATGCTCATTGTTCATGGTCAAGGTCAGGCGTGGGTTATGAAGGAGTGGCTTGTGCTCTAGGGAGAACTGAGTCAGTAGAGAGGCGAGGCCCATTCACATATTGGCTAACGAGTATTGAGGACCAAAGATTAAGCAGGCACTGTGTTAAGTGATTTCCACATGTTTTATTTAATCTGTGCCAAAAAACCCTACTATAATTAACTTCATTTTACAGAAGTGGTTTGGAAAGGTTAAAGAACAGACATTAGTACAACTAGTAGGTAGCAGAATCAATTCTCCAACCTGGGTCTGTTTGACTTTCAAATCCATGAAAGAATTTTAAATATAGAACACCAGGGCTCTGGGATGAGGTCAGAGTGTCCTGCTCAGTTTTGCTATTTTCTACTAAAGAATGGTTCTGGCTGTGGATAAAGTGAAATAATCTTATATATAGAATGAGGCATAGGGAATTTTCTCCCTTGATTAGTTAACTATGTTAATATGGTTGCTTAGAACATTTTTTCTTCACAAGCAAACATGTTATAAGCTTGGAGACCCAGTGGAATCTACCACTATGTGGAGAATTTGTCCTGTTGAGCTTAACATGATGACCTTAACATGTCTGTCTAATCAAGATCTAGAACAGTTTAGTAAAGGTATGCTTTGGAAACATTAGGAAGTAGCAGAGGATTAAATATCAAAATCGTGTCATACTCATCTCAGTGATATATGGTAAATACATCTAGACTTCCTTAAGGAAATTTATGTTCCTGATAATCTCTGTGGACAAGACAGAGAATTATTGATTGGATGATGGTAAAATTAGATTTTTAAGGAAGAAACAGTGTGGCATAGTGTTTAAGGATATGGTCTCAGAAGCCAGACATCTGGCTTCTGA